TCTAAACGAAGCAAATTATTAACTGGTTCAACTCCAATTTGAACAGTATTCCATATATATCAGGCGTCTCAGGGGGGCGGTGGGGTAGCTTAATGGTTTCAGCATCAGATCGTCACGCTCGGGTTCGAATCCCCATATGGATACAATGTGTGAAGCCCATTTCTGGGTCCCCTGTCGTGATATTGCTTGAGTATTGCTAAAAGCAACGTAAAACCCAACTCACTCACTCACTCAAAGTCAACGTCGATGGCATTTCGTGAAAAGCTCTGAACACCTGAAGGGTGCTGGCAAGTGTAGAAACATCAACATGTCATGGATTCGAATCCACCATCATGGGTTTCTAGTAGGGGTGGGCGATAATAACGGTTAACCGGTATATTGCAATTCGAACTTCACGATACGATATATTGCGGTACACTTTTCGCGAACCGGTTCACCCGATACGATCGCAAATTTCCGTGATGTAGTCAAAAGTACTGATAACATTAGTATTTCCTTTATATTATTATACATTAATAGTTTTGAGAATGTTTATTGGTCATATAATTAATACGTATTTGCACATTTGCGTGACTTTTAAACCGTATAAATAAGAAAAAATAGAATGGTACCGGCACTCTTTTGAAGGATAAACAAACCAAAATGGCGGTCGCTTTTTCTTGAGTTCCAAACTTTAGAGCGAAATTTTTAATTTGGAAACATTTTCAATTGATCTATTGTACAATCACATCTGAGTCCTTACAGTGGCCAGTGGCCACAATATATTGCAATACATATTGCAAGACGCCAACACATATCACAATATATCGCAATACGAAAATATTGGCAATACCCAACTCTAGTTTCTAGCATGTCCAAGAGTGCCCTAACTGCACATCGAATTGCAGGGCCTTTGTCAACTGAAAAAATATGTTATAAGCAGCTTCAATCTTTCATCATATAACTCGGAAAAAACACACGGAAAATTAAAGCATGTTTTATTGAAGAAACAGTCAAAGCCAACAGAACCAGTTGCTGGACTTTTACCACAATATACTTTGAAACATTAACTGTATCATACACGCACTCAACAAAATAGTCTTTTGAATTTGATACAGCATTCATTAACAAGTCCATAATAAAACTATATATTATTTTGTCAGAAAATAACAGAATTTGCTTACAAAAAGCAAATGGCACATTTATCTGTTCACATCACGTGATTCAACAATTACTGACATTGACAAACATTTCTTCCATGCTGAGATGTTAGTTTAACGAAAATATGAAGATGTGATGGAAAATCGGTGTCACTTGTAAAATCCCATAACCAGTTTCTCTTCGGTAAGAATATAAATCGGTGAGATATGTAGAATGGCGTCTTCAAGGCTAAATTACCCCCGCCTTTGCTGTGAAGGATCCTTACAATGACTGTTGTTATTAAACCTAATGCAGTCTTTGACTTTAGCCAGTAGTTGTCCAGAAAAGCCATCTTCAGTGAAGTAAGCTTTCTGAAAAAAGCCCATACATAAAGTGACAAGTTTCAGGTCAGTAGACTATTCTGGTTCTAGTGCAGAGTTATGATAAATATACACTTTTACACTAGTATATGGTATAGCTCTACAGATAAGCACTACTTTGTACTAAATGCACAGAGTGTTTTCCATTAAATGTTCAAGAGGTACACAGCAGATGCTAAACATTTACACGTTCACACAAGCAGCAGGATCATGTACACATCCACACAAGCAGCAGGATCATGTACACATCCACACAAGCAGCAGGATCATGTACACATCCACACAAGCAGCAGGATCATGTACACATCCACACAAGCAGCAGGATCATGTACACATCCACACAAGCAGCAGGATCATGTACACGTCCACACAAGCAGCAGGATCATGTACATGTCCACACACAAGCAGCAGGATCATGTATGTACGTCCACACAAGCAGCAGGATCATGTACACGTCCACACAAGCAGCAGGATCATGTATTGCGACCGCCGCGCCACATCCACGCTATTGCTACCGCGCACATCCAACAAGGTATCAGCGTACACATCTTGCCACAAGCATCAGGGATTGCGGCCACATTCACAAATAAAGTGGGTGATCAAGTTGTTAATGCCCAGTATAAAAAGATCAACGCCCGCCGCTGCGACCGCCGCACACCGCAGATGGATTGACCGCCACACCCGCATCACGGGTTCCATCATCACGAACCTGCGGTGTTCAATCATGCAATAATTACTATTATTGACAATGACCCCGATCGTTGCCCCCAACCATCTTCACCCGAACACCATACCATCATCGGTCATCCTACTTCACGCGATTGCCGTTACGCGCCTCGCGCTACCGCATTTTAATTTGCCGGAACGTCCCAACAAATGTCACACCCCACGTAGCATCTAAAACATCCTACGCTTAATCACGCTTCCGACAAGTAAACCCCGCCATACATTCACCAGCTATTTTTGCAGTAGCTGGCTATCCAGGCATCTGATAATCCTAAAGTTACTTCACTGGAAGCTTGACTGCTCAACACTGCAACATCTGACCCATCCAGTCTCAGATTTCGAATAGAGCATGGTACCAATGGCCGGTTCGGTTGCCGGAATTTAACTGCTTTATTATCAGTGAAGTAAGCTTTTCCAACTCCAAAGTTAGCAAAGTTGCAGCCATTTCACAGGACCTACAAATAGTCTAGTCCAGGGTGCCGTTGTACAAAGCGATTTTAGCCAGGGCCTGATACAGCTTTTTGAGAAAGGGGGTGTACACTATTGAGAAAGGAGGGGTGCACACTTCATTTTCACGAGAGTTTCAATGGTCATTTAATAAACTTTCAGGACAAAAGGGGGATGCGCAACCCCACTCTGGATCCACCTATGTTAGCGTTAAGGTGACTGTAACTCCCATACCTTAACATAGACTTAAGGTAGTCTTAGCGCTAAGGTGACTGTAACTCCCATACCTTAACATAGACTTAAGGTAGTCTTAGCGCTAAGGTGACTGTAACTCCCATACCTTAACATAGACTTAAGGTGACTGTAACTCCCATACCTTAACGTAACTCCCATACCTTAACATAGACTTAAGGTAGTCTTAGCGCTAAGTCGGTATGGTTCAACGGCACCCAGGTAAACATAAAGACTGAAAGCAGGTAAAGATGTGAGCTATCAGACATTGTGTAGTCCGTCAAGTCACAGTATCACATTTAATCATAATGATGGTTGTTAGTCAAGTCATACATACATCTTACACATCATACTGTAATGAACCTGTGATCAACCAGTGATCAACTATGTAAACAACTCAGTACAGTCCATAGGCAGCCATTTTGTACACTGTATCTCCAAAATAGTTGGTACTTAGGTACTCTCAGTCGGTACTCTAATGGCTTGTTACAAATGCAGTTAACAAGAACTAAGCTTAGATATAAGAAAATATACATCCTTCCATTGTGTATACATCAACTGTCGGGCTCTACCTTAATGTCTGTTGATGTAAAGATGAAAGCCTTACACATATACATATCAAGAGGCACAAACCTCAGGGTTCTGATATACATGTTGGGCACAGAATAAACATTATTACATTCAATAAATCACACATTGATTCTTGGCATAGCTCAAAGTGATTCAAGTCTTAGACAAGTCACCACTTTGGTAATACCATGAGCACCGGAATGGTGCAGACAAACCAAGAAATATAATCCAGACCGGGATTCAAACCCAGGATTTCTGGCACATACAAGGACACACTGCTCCATCCATACCACCAAAGGCAGGTTCACAATGACTTGGCAAATAGTGGTTACTGCATGTCAATCATAAATAATTCAACGAACACTTGTCATCGTGTGATCAACTCCAATAATATAAAAATGATTAAAAAATGCATCTTATAAAATATATTTTCAGGAAACCTATCTGTGTAAGCACCCAGCTGAGATGATATGAATGCTCCAACAAGCATGAATGCAATATGCAGAAGATGTACAATGAATCACATATGAGAAGGAAATTGATACAATCCAATACATCCATAGAACTGAGTTCAGTCTGATAAAGCGAAGCAGACACACTAGGTGAAAACAAAATTAACCCAGCAAGAGTTACCTCCCTTCAACTGTAACCAAGCACTTGAAAGGGGAGCCAAATGTTTGTAGACTGACTGACTGAGTTTGGTTTTACGCCGCTTTTAGCAATATTCCAGCATTATCACGGCGGGGGACACCAGAAATGGGCTTCACTCATTGTACCCATGTGGGGATTCAAACCCAGGTCTTCGGTGTGACGAGCCAACGCTTTAACCACTAGGCTACCCCACCGCCCCAAAATGTTTGTAGAACTTATACACAGGCACATTAGCTGCTGTACCACTTAATATTCACTATGACCCAAGATAGTCACCTTTAGTCAACATGTCAACCTTAGCAAATGATGAGTGGCATAACCGCTTGAAAAAATATGGAAATCGTCCCATTTATATGTTACCACAGCCGTTACTGAATATTTTACGATGCTTCAACCAGTGTCATCTGTATTATGACCAATACCAATGTACAAGTTCAAATGGATAGAATACAATGACTTAAATCATCCAGGTACCCTTTGCAGTTACAGAGATGCCAACCCAAAACTGGTGCAATTAGGAATCTGAGCTCCCTAAGACAGAAAAATTTAGGAATTGTCCCAACAAATTAGGGATCCCTAATAATTCTTGCACTCAAGGAATGACAGTTTTCAATGCCATTACAAATAGCGATCCTTATACAACTGAAACCGGTTTGCAGTACTCTGTAGCAGTGTTTGTGAATGTTAAGTGAATATAATAAACAGTGCATGGAATTTATCAGGCAGCCTACTTAACTTCTGAATTACTTTCTGGTGTAAACAATTTGAGAACTTCTGTAAATAAAGTGATATATTTATTTTATTACCATTATTTATAGTTTAAGATGATCCTAGCCCTCCAGTAAGTAAGACTCTATATCTTTGTTATATTTTGAATTTGGCTTTGTCGGAAATGCGGAATCGACATTCATTTTTCAAGATAATTCCGATGAATTTGGGAGGGTTGGCATCTCTGCAGTTATTTTCAATCTGTCACCATAATGATCAAGAATACCACTAGCTCATCATCCCTACCTCATCATTTTGAACATTTCTTAAGCAACCAGTTGTCATAAAATGGAGAATTTAGCTTGGCGTGCAGGGCCATCAAGATCCATCTTGTAGAGTCACAAATACTGATTCACTAAAGTCATAGTGACAAAGACATGTCACATGAGCAGACCAACAATCAGCAGCCCCTGGGCCAAATATATAAAGATATAAATGTATGGACACAGAGAACCAATCTTCAGGTCTCAGGGCTCTCAAGGCAGGTTAACCATGCAGTTACCACCCCTGCCCAGATTTTCATGTTGGGTATGTGACAGTTGATGTTATATGGACCCATCACTGGATCCATCACTGGATCCAAGAGCAAACAAGGATCCCTCAAGCACAAACACTCCAAGTCTTACAAAGCAAGAAATCATTAGCAACCAGATCCACCAGAAAGTTATGACCACCTTTTTTTGGAACAGCCCAGACATCAATTATATACCACACGTAACAGCTATGAATGGTAAATATTATGCCAAGCTTTTTCGAAAGATTGTATAAGTCTATCAAAGACATCATTGCAGGAAATGTGGCGCTGTCCATCAAGACACTGCTCCAGTTTACTTTACCAATGCTGTAATGGCTGCTGGACCAAGCTTCCACCCTACTTTCATCAACTTATACAGTATGCTAGCAGTAGTCATGCAGTATCTTATCATCCCATGCCCAGGAAGACCTTCAAATATATTTTCCATTTCAGGAATAGAATTCAGGTCATTTGGCATAAAAGGCTAACACTTCAACCACAAAGCTACCAAATCTGGGAAAAGAGGTTTCAACAAGTCTGAACCAGATAGCGAACCCTGTCTGCTCTAAACAAGTTCTTATGGAGAACACAAATAAAGCATATACAATCTTCGGGAATGATATTTGTAAACACAGAGGATCCCTTTCATTCAATTCTGAACAAAACGGGATGTCTAAGGCCAAAGCACTGACAACATGAAGAGGAATATGAAAATCATTCCCCAGTTCCAAACGTACCTTTGTTAGGCTACAAAACGTGGAGCTAAACGTGAGAGTATCTATATTCTTGTGATGGTCTTTGTGGCCCAGAAAATGACCCTGGGTCCTGGCATTCCACAAAGCAATCTAAGCATTAAAATGATTTCAATAGCATTCTTTAATACAAGCTTACAACACACACAGTGTTATTGTCAAATCAAGACTAAAGACCCATATGTTCTCCAAGTATCATAGTGACTGACTGACTGAGTTTTGGTTTTACGCCGCTTTTAGCAATATTCCAGCAACATCACGGCCGGGGACACCAGAAATGGGCTTCACACATTGTACCCATGTGGGGATTCGAACCCGGGTCTTCGGCGTGACGAGCCAACGCTTTAACCACTAGGCTACCCCACCGCCCCAGTATCATAGTGACATTTAAATCCAGTCAACAACACTCCCTGAATTTTATCTTTATACAATCCCCTTGTAGCGCCTTGAGCAGGCATATCTGTCTGGATTGCGCCCATTATAAATGCACATTTATTATTATTATTATTATTATTATTATTATTATTATTATTATTGTCGTTTTTTGTGACAGGGGCCTGAATGTAAGGGTGGAAGAAGGCAGTCTGCTGAAGAAACCTCAATCTGATAATGCCTCTGATGATATAATGCTCTAATTTGCTCCACATGGAAACAGTGGTTTCTCAATGGCTGCACCGTACTGTAAAATAATTATATCTTTATTATACAACTGCAAACTCTTATGCTACTGTTCAAACTCCTGTACAAACTCCTGTAACTTCTCCTGAGTCCCCATCAAACTCCTGTTCTCTAGACACTGACTTCAGTTTTCAGGTGGGTGTCAGATTCAACCCTGGAAAGGTACGACCATCTGTCTTCTCCATGCAGAAGCTTTGGTATGTCTATAAATCTACAGATCATAAAACCTCAATCAACATCTATGAACAATGGTTGCACCCTACCAACATCAGACAGTTCATACAGCTACTTAATGCCTTCCAGATTAAACCCTGTCTACCATACACAAGCAAACCTCACAACATGCATGCATGAAGATGGAAAGTGTACACAAGTGTATCAGATGCCTACAATGAGAGCAGTCAGTTTGGTAAAAGAGTCATCATCTTCTGGGCACTATAATGCCTCATTGTTTCATCAGTATTCTATAGTCCGTTTGGCTCAAAAGCGGACCGATGAATTGCAATCTTACTCAAAAACTAATAAACATAAAATACTCAATGAAACACTGATCATAATCAAAACATCAGACCAACTCTGTGAGGTTTTTGCAGAATTTTTGTCCTAAAAATTAAAAAGTTGTTTTACAATCTACCATTAAATTATTGACACAGTTCACTATTTGTTACGAGGGAGGAGTGCAGAGAAAGGGACAGCCAGGTGTTCGAGAACGGATGGAGATGGCACAGCACAGGTTAATGAATAAATAACTTTGTCTGTGAACGTGCTTCTCGAACACCTGGCTGTCCCTTTCTCTGCACTCCTCCCTCGTAACAAACAGTGAACTGTGTCAATATTTTAATGATAGTTTGTTAAACAACTTTACTATTTGTAGGACAAAAATTCTGCAAAAACCTCACAGAGTGGGTATGATGTTTTGATTATGATCAGCGTTTCATTGAGTATGTTATGTTTATTAGTTTTCGAGTTAGATTGCAATTCATCGGTCCGCTTTTGAGCCAAACGGACTGTAGAAGTTGGTGAGTCAATACTGAAGCATACGACTTCATGAATAACATAAACAAGAAGTCGTTATCCATAAAGTCGAATGCTTCATTACTACAATGCCTAATCAACATTACTGAACGATACCTCAGCAGGGCCCATCTCAAAATCTTTTGTCACAATATTCATGTCAGGATTGATAAAAATAAATAAATATTTCCACTGATTATATTTCTGTTCAGAAAATGGCAGCATTCAATGCAACTAACAACAGTTGTAAAAATATAGCATCTTCTCGATAAAAAGCCATAATGACCACTTTCACTCTGAAGCCCCAGATAAAATCATTCAAAGACATCTGTCAGGAAGCTAAAAATATTGAGACATGAAACGAAATCAACAGTCTTCGCAAACATAACAACATGGCTGCTGATGTAAGCTTCAATGTGAAGTACTCTTGCCAAAAATTATATCTAAGCTTCAGCTTCACGCAGGTCAAAGCAGCTCCACCTGTATTTTTCATAAGGCAGGATGTGTGTGATTTGTCTTTTTCGTGTGGCAGTACAAAATATTCCCCGAATAAAAACACTTTGAGCATATATATATGAAATATTAGCTAAAGTCAATGAGAAGGTTGTGAGTTCCTTAACCTCTTTTGAGTAGCATGTATTCATAATCTTAAACAGAATTGAACATCACACCAGAAGTATTTCATCACAGTACAGCAGAGGAAGATGTTTTTTGCTATAAAATATTTTTCACAAATTGATTTGATTTGAACACATTCACAAAAAACATCGGATAGTTTTGGCATCAAAATAGAAACCAACAAGACACAAGCCATATGGGCGGCGGAAGTACTTCTGATGGAAGGCTGTAGAACAGATTCGGTGAAGTCAACCTCACATCATATCAGGACAGCCAAACTGAAATGTTCATATAAAAATTGGCAAAATACATTCATTCTGGAAAATACATGTCCTCATAATACCTGGCACCTCTGTAAAGTCAGCGCTGTAACGACCCACCATTGTCATACTGCCACACAAAGCATGGTACGCTATCTGTAGTCATAGTGAGTGAGTGAGATTAGTTTTACACTGCTTTTAGCAATATTCCAGCAATAGCACGGCGGGAACACCAGAAATGGGCTTCACACATTGCACCCATATGGGCAATTGAACCCGGGTCTTCCTGTGACGAGCAAATGCTTTAACCATCAGGCTACCCATCTAGTCATAAAACAATTTCAAAATTACCAGGATATTAAAGCAACAGGTAAAAATATTAAAATGAAAATCATACGATTTTCAAATTATGTTCAATTTAAATGAATATTGTCTCAAGGTTCCTTCCAAAGCAATGTCATCATAACATGAACCAGTTGATAGGGGTCCGGACGTGAAGGATCCAACTCGTTACCTACCCCGATCAGTATACCATTAAGTGTCAGGTTTCAACCATACAGGCTTGAAGAAGGCAGTATGACAATGTGTATCATTACAGATCTCACAACAATGTCTTCCATGTTTCAACAATGTGGTAACACAAACAAATATATCTTTGAAGGAAGTTCACAAAACACAAACAAAAGCATCACTTGTATGTGATATATGAATTATGTCTTGAATTCGAATACTGATTTCCTGTCGGCAATCCACAGAAGTGAACATGGTAAACAACTAAAAAGCCCCACACAGCGTTCACACGACTCAGCCGCTGAGACAGGACCAGAGAGGACCAGAAAGGACCAGACAGGACCAGACCAGACCAGACTGGACCAGACAGGACTGGACACATGTAGAACTCTAGTGCATGAAGGGGGAGGTGGGAGACGAAGAAGGAGGATGTATACTGTCTTCCTAATGGATAACATGCAGTGTGCGAAATAGCCACTGGCCTGCTAGCCCATGGATAGTAAAAATCCAGGCGGGCCAGTTAATCTCCATAGTCACTGGCTCTACTGGCTATTGAATTTTCATGGCGTCATTTTGTAAATACATCATTCTTCTGACTTGCTAAGTTATAATACATTTTAAATCATGCAAAATTTTGGCCTAAAAATATGTTTATCATATTAGCAGCTTAATGATGAAACCTTTGTCATGCCGACAATATCTTTTTCTCATCATTTTTTGTAATCTTTGCTTAGTTTCTACATTCAAATTTCGGGCAAGTGAATTATTTTGTGGGCTAGTAACATTCAGTCATAGCTAGCCCGACTGGCTAGCGAAATTTGGAAACTATTTTCGCAAACTGATAACATGTTGCAACAAACAAATGTCAGCCCTGTCATGTCAATTTCAAATTAGTCAACCTTGTCACCATCCAAACGCTGTGAACCCCACATATCTACCATAAGCCAGTGTGAACACGCAAAATCTCTTGTGAACACTTACAACATCCAAAGATCGCCCATCAGAGACTATACGATAGTCTAGCATAACCCCAGTGAACTCCATCATACTATTGTCAAACGCCTAAGATGCACTAGTGCACCTAAGGAACCCCAGAGATCCCCTGTTACCTCCCCAAATCCTCCAAATACAGAGTTAGCAGGGCCATGGTAATACAACCAGCCTGGCAGTGCCTGGGACGAGGAATCTCGTCACTCCAAGACATGGCCCACAAATACAGGTGGTGATTCCCACATTATCGGTCACATAGTGTTAAAGATAATACATGCCGCGAGGCGCAGCCAGATAGCAGCAAGGACAGCTATACTACTCAACTTTTGGTAAGGATTGATAGATTTATATCTTACAAACATAAAGGGCAATGTTTAAAAAATGTATACTTTAAAGATAAAAAGTATTATGGATGAATACAACATCCCAAAGTTGAATAATACTCAACTTTTAGGGATTGATAGATTCATATCTTAAAAACATAAAGGGCAATTTTTCAGAAATGTATACCTTATCGCTAGAAAATATTTTGGATGTACAGAACATTCCCAAGAAATCCAGTACCCACAGTCTCGGCACTTCAGACTTTCCTTGGCAAACGTTGAGCAGTATATAAATATATATATAGGATATACAGAATTACATGGTGTAGCTACAGATGAGGTATTATACAAGATACATGAAGCATGACAGACTTATACAAATATATAAAACAATTTCATCACCCCAACATCTACATTTCTTAGAAAATAGGCAGTCAATGGGTTAGGCTATAGACTATAAAAATAGTTTTCAAACCTCCAGAGATGTGAAAGTGTTCAAATTGGTAGAAATATTTTCAGGTCTGGAGTCTGGGAACCCATCACGTCCAAATACTATCTCATTCTTCAAAACTAATATTTGAAAAAAATAATATACTGAAATTAAAAAGTTAGGGATCATATCTCTGAGGATATCTTTATTGTGCGCTCAATCCTCACTACAAAATATATCATCCAAACAAAGTCATGATCTCTAACGTTTTTGTTCAGCGTATTTGAAAAACTGGGGATTTCAGATTCTTTGATATCAGGAATATCTCCATTGTGCTGGTACTGTATTCTATAGTTTCTCCATATTTCAGCAATGGAGCCATCACATCACTCTCCAATTCCCTGGAATGTTTACTTATGGAATCGACAAAGCTCCAAATTATGCATTCACTGTATCACTATCCCAAACTTATCAATAACCTAGAATTCTGCCAAAAGTAGACTGCTTACCATTGTGAAAGTCGAGAAATTACAAAAGTCTTGGTTTAACTTTTAGCTACATTTTCTTCAACAAACTAGCTGCAGTCATCCTGACAAGCTGTAATAGAAAATATGTAAGCAAAGTGTGGCTTCTTAAACATTTAGTTTTCATGTGAGATGGTTAATCATCTATTTCATTGAACTTATTTCAAAAACAAACTAAATGATTCCATTCCATGTAGAATCTACAAATACATGTAGAATCATTTGGACGTTCACAAGTCAGGCAAATTATTACCTTCAAAATCACTGACCCTGTTTACAAGTCTTCATGAAAGATTACGGCATCAACGCATTAAACACACCCAAAACATATGTGAAAATGAGATACAGTGACATGAACTCCTTGATGACAGACCTGGATTATGACCACATATATTATAAGAAAATACCTCAAAATACAAGGTGTTATTATCTCCAAGCGTGCCTTTATCACGAGGCTCACTAGCATACAATCCTTGTGCTGACTACAATCAGCTAATTTTCACAATCAAGCCATTCCAACTGTTCCTCGTGTTCTGGAGATGAACTACCATGAACTCTGTATAAGCATGAAAGTGATGTTATTTAATGAAACAATAACAATTACAATTCCTTGCCTGTCAGTTAACTATAGCAAAATATTGTAAATTTTATAATAAATTGTATATTTCAATACTTATCCTATCTCACGGTATGCACCTCTCTTCTTCTTCTACGACCATGTGTGGAAACGTGCTGTAGGCTCAGTTGAATCAAATCTTACTGGCCTCTGACCCGCCCTGACCTCTGACCCGCCCTGACCTCTGACCCGCCCTGACCTCTGCCCCCACTCCGACATGAGCACCTGTCAATCATCTCCGTAAGCATGCAGATCGCTCAGATGATCACGTGACTACCTGTGCCTGTCATTCTCTTTCTTGTCGCTAAGTCGGTGGACGTGTGCTTGTCTCTAAGAAAGTTTGATTGTGTTTCTACAATGGGAAAATCGAATGGTCGTAGAAGAAGAGAGGTGCATACCGTGAGATAGGATAAGTTTAAAAATCTGTTGTTGTTCATTAACTGATTCTGCATTCTGTTGTTTATAATGACTGAATATTATGTTGTTTACAAAGATTGATTATTCTGTTGTATACCATATTGTTGTTGATTCAATATGATTCTGTATTCTGTTGTTTACAATGATCCAAAATTCTTTTGTTACAAGATTAAATATTGTGCTGTCGTTTACAAGGAATCTATATTCTGTTGTTTACAATGATTCAAAATTATGTTGTTGTTCACTATGATTCAGTATTCTGTTGTTACTTACAATGATTTAATACTCTGTTGATGTTTACAATGATTCAAAATTCTGTTGTTGTCTAACTCTGGTTCAGTACTGTGTTGAACTTGTTTAATGTTTATTCAACATTCTGTTGTGGTTCTTTAAAAATGATTGGTTTGTTGATGATCTTTTAATTATGATTCAATATTTCTTTTAATTATGATTCAATATTCCCTAATTTAACTATATTCAATATTCTGGTGTTGTTTTCTGTTGTATATTTGTTTGAGTGGGGAAAAGAATATCTCGTATTTTTATGCTAGTCATATATATAATAAAATCACCAAAATCTAACTTGTGACAGAAGGCATTTTGTGATAGTGATGATAAAACAGACACAAACGAAAAGTAGAAATTTCAATACATTAGTGAGTGAGTGAGTTGGGCTTAATGCCGCTTTTATCAAAATTCCAGCAATATCACCCGGGGAACACCAGACTTCGCACATTGTACCCACGTGGGGAATCAAACCTGGGTCTTCGGTGTGATGAGCCAACGCTTTAACCACTGGGCTACCCCACCGCCCTCAATAAATTTAAAAAAATAGTATTTGTTTACTTCTACAAACCTCGGCAGACATCAGCAGAACAGAGAGACTAACAGATTTGGCCAAACTGCAAGTTGCGAAAATTCAAGTCCATCCATTACACATACACAATGGGATTCTGTAAAACAGATCCCATACACGTTATAAATACCATATTGGACAGGAACCATTAAAATAGAGCCATCATGTACACACCAATCAGAGAAAACATTTAGACACAATTACAAGATCTTTAAAGCAGTCTCCTTTCCGATTATGAGAATATATAAAACCATTCCAAGGACCATTTCACAAAAGACACTCCTAGGACGAGAACTGATACATTCCTAATGTACAGAGCCATTGATGGGGCGAGTTCGCAGCTGCATAGGGGCTTCTCTAGACGGGGACTTGATGTCGACTTTTCCATCTTCATTGTGCTCAATCTTGGGGACATCGTTCTTGACGTCCCTCTTGACGTAAAACTTCCACACAGTCCAGCTGACGAGACACACAAAGCCAGCCAGCCAGAATGAGGCTATAAGCTGTGGGACTGGCTTCACAACAAGTTCCCAGTCGAACTTAAACGTAATGAGGCACTCAGTGATTATGATTGCCGCGATGATCCACGACTGGCGGCCAAACTTCTTGCACTTCCTGGAAACAGAAAAAGGGTATCTAACGACTTTTGTCAACATTTTTTTTTCATGTTCATTTTTATTGAAACAAAAGTCAGTTATTAATTTTGGAAATTCAACTGTTTTTTAACTATTCACAGGTCATCAAAAACACTTAAATGTGTTGGCAGTAGGAATTTCATTGTTTTACAAACCAATTGTGATGTCATCCTAGTGTTCTTAATATTTCTCTAAATAACAAAGCCTGCAAGCGTATTTGCAGAGATTGACGTTGACTTTCTAACTGAACTGAAGAGTGCAACACTACCAAAGTTTTATAATCATACTTTAAATATGTAAATATTAAATGTAAATAATCAATTCTGAACCAGTGATTGACATCATGAGCATCGACCTATGCAATCTGGATAAGATGACAAGCATCAACCAAGCCAGTGACCCTGACCAAATCCCCGTTAGTCGTCTCTTACGACAAGGATGGGTTACTGAAGATTAATCCTCGTCCAGATGTGCATGGCCTTCAATGATAATTAAACTTATATATGTTCTAAACCCCCTGCTTTCTCACGAATCCCCATAGCAGGTGATGAGATGATGTTCAGTTTTACATGTCCCTGCAGTTTTCTTTCTCTTAATCATCATAAAATCATTTTAAACCAAAGCCACTGTATTGTCTGGCACCCGAATGTGTTTTCATTCCTTCCGGCACTTCAAGCACTTAGAGACCACCTCCGTGGTGTAGTGGGTAGAGCGTCCGCCCGGGAGAGTGGAAGATCGCGGGTTTGATCCCTGACCGCGTCATACCAAAAGACGTTAAAATATGGTACTTGTTGGTCCCTGCCTGGCGCTTGGCATTAATGGGTACAACAATGACTGGTCGGCTTGGAGTCAGTATAATGTGTCTGAGTGGGGTATTCATGCTTCACTGCGGCATGGTATCTCAGTGGGCTAGCACTATAAAACTAGCTTAAGTCTGGGCTAGTACAAGCAGCCGCACATACACATACACACGCATGCATGTCGTCATATGAGCGAAATATTCTCAAGCACGACGATAAACTCAATTTCACCTCACCTCACCTCACCTCAAGCACTTAGAAGGCCCTCGGGGCTTTTGCCTTGCTTATTTGGGAATTGTGTTTCAAATGTACTCACGGGTCATCTAAATACTGAAATGTTTCCCGCATCGCTGCAGCTCCCATGAAAAGGAAGAAAACCAAACGACCAAGGCACAGGTAGTGTTCGGGGGGGATCCACAGGACGAACTTCAGGTAAAACGTGTTCAGCTCTGCCAGCAGGAACTGAAACGACACATCATCATCAGCAAAGATATATTGCTACAGACATAGTGTAAGTAATCTACACTGTGGATTATCTCCCTTTTTGATACAGTGAAGGGTACAATCAGTTGGTGCAGGAGGCATTGCCAGGGTTGGAACATGTGAAGAGGGTAACTGAGTTGTCTGCCCTTGTTTAATTCACATCACAAGAGTTCCTGTTCCATATAAAAGCCACCAGTGTTAAGAGAATGGCTTCAGGGACTGAGAAACAGACAACTTTTTCTCCTTCCTCCATGGTTTTTATACACAACAGGGCCTCGGCGATCACTATATTGAGCATTCGTACCTACTCGTGTCATTCCGGCAAGCCGCATAGCGCCTCGTACCCCTCTCGTGGCCATGTTTATGACTGGGTCCTGTCTAAGCGCAAACGGGCATGCAGATGAAAATAGTCTAGTACTATTACCAAGGAAAGATAACTCTGAATTTCCAAACATGGCTCCGAGAATATCCTATATCCCGTGGGAAAAACAGCAATACAGTCATTCTCTTTGTAAATATATTTCAGTGTTTAAAGTGGCTGGTCCTTTATGTTTAAATTATGCTTTGCATAGTTTAGCGAAGTTTCAAAGTTTCCGCCATTTTCATGCTTCGAAATGTGTTTTACTATCCGCGATTTTATTGGTTTGCCACGATTCTTAGCAATAATGGAGTACGATAGGGGTACGAGTCTTCTTGTAGGTCACGGAAAGAGGCAAGTAGTGATGAATGCTATATTGAGCTGATTCAGAGAACAATCAGTCCATATGCCTCATTCATATGATCCCACTGAGAACTAAAACAGTAGTGGTCCAAAGGGCCCAATTCTTGTAAGCCCTTGAGTAGATACAGTCCATAGTAATAATAATAATAATAATTTATATATAAAGCGCCTAATATTCACCGTAGAGATGCTCAGTGGCGCTGTGACAATAGTGAAAGTGCCCTATTCTTGTGGCCCGACTATGGATACAGAGCAGAAATGGTCTTGAGTGGCCCATTCTTGTGCCCCCATTGTATACACAAAGCAGTAATGGTCCTTAGTGCCCCATTCTTGTGCCACCATTGTGGATACAGAGCAGAAATGGTCCTTAGTGCCCCATTCTTGTGGCCCCATTGTGGATGCAAAGCAGAAATGGTCCTTAGTGCCCCATTCTTGTGCCCCCATTGTGGATACAGAGCAGAAATGGTCCTTAGTGACCCATTCTTGTGCCCCCATTGTGGATACAGAGCAGAAATGGTCCTTAGTGCCCCATTCTTGTGCCCTCACTGTGGATACAGATCAGAAATGGTCCTTAGTGACCCATTCTTGTGCCCCCACTGTGGATACAGAGCAGAAATGGTCCTTAATGACCCATTTTTGTGCCCCACTGTGGATACAGAGCAGAAATGGTCCTTAATGACCCATTCTTGTGCCACCTTTGTGGATACAGAGCAGAAATGGTCCTTAGTGCCCCATTCTTGTGCCCCACTGTGGATGCAAAGCAGGAATTGTCCTTAGTGCCCCATTCTTGTGCCCCCATTGTGGATACAGAGCAGAAATGGTCCTTAATGACCCATTCTTGTGCCCCCACTGTGGATACAGAGCAGAAATGGTCCTTAGTGCCCCATTCTTGTGCCCCCATTGTATACACAAAGCAGAAATGGTCCTTAGTGCCCCATTCTTGTGCCCCCATTGTGGATACAGAGCAGAAATGGTCCTTAGTGCCCCATTCTTGTGCCCCCTCTGTGGATACAGAGCAGAAATGGTCCTTAATGACCCATTCTTGTGCCCCACTGTGGATGCAAAGCAGAAATGGTCCTTAATGACACATTCTTGTGCCCCATTGTGGATGCAAAGCAGGATGGGTCCAAAGCACCAAAAGGTTGTGCCCTTGCTCATCAATTCCCATTCAATCCTTCCCCAAAGAATCATCTTCAAAGCCTACTCACTATAGCGATAACTCCACACATGGCACACCACCTCTTGAGACTGGCAGTGGGCCTCCAGTCGAAGTCCGTCCAGCTGTAAGGCGTGAACTGGGCAGCAACACGACGCAACTTGCCGCTGGAGAAATACACCAAAAACATTCAAACATGATCAAGCAATATACCACTGAACCACTAAACATGCAAACAGTGTCTGTCTATTACATGTTACTCAGCCATATTCCAAACATATACTGAGTCAAAAAAGAAACTTCACAAAATGTAATTTGAAAAATAATAAATAATTTTTCTCTGATGATACATCTATGTATCCGAAATGGGATCCCTATCTTTCGACTCTAGAAAAACGTTAGCAAAACCCACTCAAACCCATTCATTCCTCGTGCAAATGACGTTAGTGCCAAATCAGGTTTTGCACGTGCAGTCGATCACGTGATCTTCACATCGAAGTTTTCTTCATATGCACGTGTTTGCATTGGCCTCAAGAATTGAAAAACACTTTTACACCACAGTTCTAACGGTACTTGAAATGCCATGATTGTCAAATGTGCAACGTGAACGTGCCGTTGGCATGTTGCAAGCGGGAAGATCGGTTATTGACGTCGCAAGAGCAATGGGATGCAGCCGTCGTACTGTGTATGACTTGCGAGGTCGTCTACAACAAACTGGCACCACTTCTGATTGCCCAAGGTCGGGTTGTCCACGTGTGACGTCACGAGCAGAAGACCGTCAAATCGTCCTATGTATTGCGACTTGACATTCTGTAAACCCATGTTTTGGAATGGCGGTGTAGCCTAATGGAACTGATTATGGCACTGTCAGTGTATCGAGTACATCACACAGATCTCAGCAATGAAATAATAACAATTTAACCATCTTACCATCTCTTGTTCTTTTATAGTGCCCTGAAGAAAGAATGTGAAGTTTCTTTTTTGACTCAGTATATGATGGAAGTCTGTAAATAGTCTGAACCAGATAATCCAGTGACCTACATCAGGAGCATCAATCAACACAGTTAAGAAAGGTGACATACTCAGGTAACTCACCAGTAAGTGTTGATGATACTACAATATGTTAACATAGGGTTGACATAGGCGGATAAACCAATCTGTTAACATACCTGTAGTGTAGACATCACAAAGAAAACCAAATGCTGACATACTCAGGTGATACGAAGAGTCACCTGAATGAAGTGATATCTTGTCATGGTAACGTACCTATATGTGGGGATGTCCCACATGCCCCTCCAGTGGTATGGCTTCATGGTCAGGTAGCGCGCAGGGTCTTCATGCCCAGATAAATGCCAAACCCATTACACACAAGGGCATCCATCACCCACTGAAAAGGAACACACAAACATTACCAATACTGAAAAACTCCATAGTAACATGCACATTACACTCTTACAAATTTGAAATGGTATTTAAAGTCATGAATATGAAAATTATTCCACACATAAACTACACATGTGAGTGTGCCTAGCATGTAGATATATTCATAGACGAGAGAGGTTAATTTGTTTGCTGATTAATGTAGCACACAGCAATATTTCACCCAGTGGTAAAACTAGGCAGCACAGAGCTACAGAGTCGTTCAAAAAGTATTCGGACACCTGATGTCATTTCCATAGACTTACATGCTATTTCAGTGTAGCAAAAACAATTTTTATGAAGTGAGTTTAGGATGGATCTTTGTCAAATTTTACAGCCATATTTGAAATCATCTCTGCTCTGTACACATAATTTCAGTTCAATTCTCTGACCACTATCAACTTACATATGGTTCCACAATGCACAACCCCATAGGCCGCCATGTTAAAGGAGTTCATGGCACTGTACATAGGTTGATTAAATTGTTGCCATTCGATAAATAAGCAACGAAAATTAAATAGAAATTATGAGATTGTGGGTAAGATGATTCCACACAAATGTAAAAAATTTGACTTGGATCTTACGAAAATTAAATTCAAAAAATTATTTATGCTACACTAAATTATCATGTAAGTCTATGGAAATTACCTCAAGTGTCTGAATACTTTTTGCATGACTCTGTATATATGTACATGTGAAAACAACAAAAGTGATAAGATAACAAAGGAAACCCTGTAGTTAACTGGTGCTAATTCTTAATAGCAATGGACAAATAGAAGGCAAGTGTAAACACAAATAGTGTGGACATAAATAGTGTCTTAGTAGTAGTCCCTTATACAGCTACAGTTGCCCCACGAAGATGTCCAATGGGACTGGGTCATAGTTTCAGACATGTGACTTTAACATGACAACAATCTTGGCAGCAGTCTTAGACACTCCACACAACTGTAAACACTGCCACGATTGGCTCTTCATCTTCAAATCAAAAAGTCTGGCAGTACATAATTTATGTTCGGCACAGAACAGCTAGCCTACAAAACAAGGCAATTGTCATACAAGCTATATGTGCACACAGGTTAGGATGAATCCAGAGTTGTGTCCCTTTGTAGAGTTACCCCCCTTGATATGCAGCACTCACATGATCCCACCAGCATTCACTGAAGTTGGGCAGCTGGTGTTCTAGGGTGTACTCCAACAGCTCAAACATGATACTGAGCACGGTACACAGCCACCAGTCCCGGAGTATCAGGGTCTGAAACAGAGACACGTGTTGGCCATAATGGAAGTACTCAAATATCATTTCTCTAAGCAGTTAAAGGCAACCCTCAATGAAAGTTTTTGTACTGCATCAGGCTTAGATGAGTGCCATTTTTCATAGAATTATTCAACTTGATACTGATCATAATATCTGCATATTTACATGGCATGGTTTCAAACATTACGGTGACTGCTGTGGTTTTAGCAAATCAGTACAGTCATGCCCCGTTTATCCGAACCTCAGATATCCGGAAAACTCGCCTTCCGAACAAAAATTCCTTAAAACGAATTCACGATTTCAAATTACTCTTATCCAGAAATCCTGTCTCCGTAACCGGTCAGTCATTTTCACATACAAAACACTAAATTCTATGCATTATTTTCTCGTATATCCGGATGGTTAAGCACCTGTCAGTATGTTTACACATGCATTTTACCGAGTGGCCTTGCATGTTTTGTGCCAACAAATCGTAAACACCATGCCATTCAGCGAGAGAAAAAAAGATAAATTTGTAATTACAAAGAGCAGTATCACTCAGCAAGTCTGGAAACCCTTAGTAAACATTTGGGCACAGAATTGGGTCACACCATTGGCAAGTCGACAATCAGCGACATTCTAAAAGACAAACCAAAATGGCTAGAAATTCTTGAATATGGTCCTTGGTTCAGATATCCGGAAATTCGCTTATCCGGAGAATTTCAAGAAAAACACAAGTGTCCGGATAAACGGGGCACGGCTGTTGTTCTGTTAGATGATATCATGTGTGCTCCAAATAGGAGGAAGGTCTGGAGTGATGCAGGTGTTAAAGTGATGCAGTTTATATCTACATACCTTCAGCCACCAGCCGAAGAAGTGGGTGGGAACAAAGCCATCCACCTTGTCCTGAAATGTTGCAAAATACAAAGTCTCATGTAAATGGTTAACATGGCACATAAGTAGTGTCACGTAAGTAGTATCCTTGTAGTAACAGAATATCCCTGAATCTTTAGATTCAGGAACTACACAAACCGATCATATACTTTGCTATAACAAATATAATATGTTCCTTGTACAAAGAAATAATTTAACATTCAATCTCCTTAACTAAATCTGCTTCACTTTGCTTACGTATGCTCAGATTAGCTTCAATCTGCTTAACATCACATCAATCAGCTCAACAAAGTGTAAGTCTGCTTAAGTTTGCTTATATCTGCTCAACTCAACTTCAATCTCCTTACCTTAGTGTCAATCTGCTGAACAAAGTGAGTGAGTGAGTATGGTTTAACACCACTTTAGCAACATCACAGCAGGGGACAACAGAAATGGGCTTCACACATTGCTCAACTAAGCCTACGTCAGCCTCACTTTGCTTATATCTGCTCAGCTTCAAATTGCTTCAAGTTAAGGTACCAAAAGTGCACAAAAAATGCCCAGAGAAGCCATATTCAAACCCTCTTCACATTGTTGATTACAAGTGGTCTTGAATGAGATTACCCAAGCATCTTACCCATATATTGTGAAGGGATCTGTGTGGTTGGCGTCATACAAAAAACAGTTTCCACCATACGCCTTCTCTGGTAATGCCTTCCCTAAATCTTCATCAAAATGTTTCAACAACAATCTTGCATCCTCCACTCTCTGTGAGAAAACAAAATTTCAAAATGAACATTTCTTAAACATCTCATTTAAATTGCCATCATTACCCTCAAGTCTTAATGTATTGCTGTAAGTATAACATCTCTATATGTCATAAAAACCAACAAAATTTGGATATGGATAACAATTCTGCTCCCTGTTTCCGTAAAGCGATCTTAGCGCTAAAACAGATGTAATATTCAAACCAAGACTTGCAAAACAGTCAGTGTTAAGATGGTGACTGACTGACTGTTGGGTTTTACGCCGCTTTTAGTAATATTCCAGCAACATCACGGCTGGGGACACCAGAAATGGGCTTCACACATTGTGCCCATGTGGGGATTCGAACCCGGGTCTTCGGCATGACGAGCCAACGCTTTAACCATTAAGCTACCCCACCGCCCCGTTAAGATGGTGAAGTGAAACAGGTTTCCGTTATGCTAACTTGTACTTTAGCACAGTAAATATATACTGAGGGAAAAAAATAAGGGATCACATGAAAGCACAAGTGTTCCTATGTATCGCGAAGCTTGTGAAGAAACCTGGAAAAAAATAAAGGAACACTTGTGCTTTCATGTGATCAATTATTATTTTCCCTCAGTATATCTCTTTAAAAGGACTTTGAGAATATATTTTTTACACAATCATTTCTAAAGTAGAGGGAAACACATCCAATCTATAAACTTACCTGGAATAACAAAAATACTAAGGCAAGTTCATATGTTATGCTCAGGCACAGGATAAGTCTCCAAAATGCTGAAAAATGGGGAAAAAATATCTGAATACAGCATTTCATAATGTTTATGAAAGTACACAAAATTCCTTTTATTTTTCAGTTTTGAAGTTGAAATATAAACATGACTGAAAGGGAAGTAACTCTAACTCCTCACCTGGATGTGGTCTGACGAAGGGTCCATCAGGAGTCTGGGTCACTCCAAACAGTAGAAAGGCTAGCACCACTGCCATCAGTCCTCTGGGAACAGATACATTCAACAGTCAGACTAACATCTTAGTCACACTAATCCATTTACACTGTGAAGATCTTACACAGTAAGTGGTTATGGGTTAACATCCTGGAAGGGACACCAAAACTGAGCTTCACACATTGTATCTCCATGTGGGGGTTCAGACCTGGGTCTTCAGCGTGACGAGCGGACGTTTTAACCAAGTGAATGAGTGAGTGGAGTGAGTGAGTGAAGAAGTGAGAGTGAGTGAGTGAATTAAGGAGTGAGTGAGTGAGCTTAGTTTTACGCCGCACTCAGCAATATTCCAGCTATTTGGCAGCAGTCTGTAAATAATCGAGTCTGGACCAGACAATCCAGTGATTAACAGCGGAGCATCGATCTGCGCAATTGGAAACCGATGACATGTGGCAACCAAGTCAGCGAGCCTGACCACCTGATCCCGTTAGTCGCCTCTTACGACAAGCATGGGTTACTGAAGATCAATATTCTAACCCGGAGACATGGGTTTAACGCCTCTTTGAACAGTATTCCAGTTGTATTACAGTGTGACAGCTTCATGTGGGGAAAAAACTCAAAGGTCTCTGTCATATCCAATTTGGTGAAAGCAATGAGCTGGGGTATTGTATTGACAAACCTAGAAACAATATCAGGGTGAACTGGGACTCGAACCAACAATCCCAGGTTCCTGGAGTGCCCAAGCGATGCAACTATAATTGTGGTGTCTTTGACAACATAACCAGCCATGCCCCAATGATGGATGAAAACACAGACATCTCTGAATGAACTAATGTTTCAAGGAAAGCCTAAGTAAGGCTGAAAAAGGTTTGATTAGAAGATCATGACACATGTAAGGGAGGCCACTCTGAATGTTAGAGCGAGTGAGTTTAGTTTTACGCCACACTCAGCAATATTCCAGCTATACTGAATGTTAGAACCTAAATGCTGTCATCTGGGCCCCGTTCCTCAAAGCGATCGTAGCGCTAAGGTGATCGTAACTCCCATACTTTAAAATAGACTTACTACTGTCATAGCACTAAGATGATCGTAACTCCCATACTTAAACATAGACTTACGTGGCGCTAAGGTGACTGTCGTCCCAGAGCTAAGGTGATCGTAACTCCCATACTTTAACATAGACTTACGACTGTCGTAGCGCTAATATGATCGTAACTCCCATACTTTAACATAGACTTACGACTGTCGTAGCACTAAGATGATCGTAACTCCCATACTTTAACATAGACTTACGACTGTTGTAGCACTACGATCGCTTTGAGGAACGGGGCCCAGGTTTATATATCCATGGTGATTGTAATTCTCAGTTTACCAGTCACATTAACATGATGACCATGATTTGCATCCTCACCGTTTGGCATTGTAGTCTCTGTCAGGGACGACATCTTCAAACAGGGCCACATAAAACAGAATGATGATGAAGATGAACAGCACTGTGATGGTGTGAGCGCGCCTGCAAACACAAACATGCATAAACTGTTTGGAGAACCAAAGTAGGGTAGCTTCATGTACTTATGTACTTCAGGGGTGGAAATAACTTTAAAATTGCTAGTGTACTCAGGAACAGTGGCACATGTAAAATCACTTGCCCTGATAATTTTTTCACTATACCGGCTGTTTTCTTGTTGATTTTTTTAAAATAAACAACATAATTAACATTGGAAAGTCAACTGGACACCGGTACAGTGTGATACACAAATTTGCTTGCCCGACAGAAAAAAACACTGGACTCGGACGTCGGGCAATGGGTTATTTCCACCCCTGTACTTCTGTACTCACCTCATAGACAAGCATCTGGACACAGGTACTAGGTAAATCTTCTTCATCAAATACAGATGGGAGAACAAATGCAAGAGTTTAGGACCTATTTTGACTGATTTCCCAAGAAGGAGAAAGGATTCAGAGAACTGTATTCTGCCCAGAGGCTGTATCCTCACAGAAGACATGCCCCAGGCTACTCGGCAACTATGCCGCCTTCTGTAAAAGCAGGAGGTGCCATTCCCTAGAAGACAAGCCTGGGGTACTGGGGACCTAGTCCTCCTTCAATACAGGCAAGAGGTGTGATATTCACCTGAAGAAGACAAGCCTGAGGTACAGGAGGATATTCACCTTAAGACAAGCCTGAGGTACTGGGGACCTACTACACCTTCTAAACATGCAAGAGGTGTGATATTCACCATAAGACAAGCCTGAGGTACTGGAGACCTACTCAACCTATTAAACGGACAAGAGATGCGATATTCACCTGAAGACAAGCCTGTTCAACTGGGGGCCTACTCCACCTTCAATACAGGCAAGACACGTCATATTCACCTGAAGACAAGCCTGTTCTATTTGGGACCTACTCCACCTTCTATACAGGCAAGAGACGTGATATTCACCTGAAGACAAGCCTGTTCTACTGGGGGCTTATTCCACCTTCAATACAGGCAAGAGACTTGATATTCACCTGAAGACAAGCCTGTTCTACTTGGGACCTACTCAACCTTCTATACAGGCAACAGATGTGATATTCACCTGAAGACAAGCCTGTTCTACTGGGGGCCTACTCCACCTTCAATACAGGCAAGAGATGTGATATTCACCTGAAGACAAGCCTGTTCTACTGGGGGCCTAATCTCCACCTTCAATACAGGCAAGAGACGTGATATTCACCTGAAGACAAGCCTGTTCTACTGGGGGCCTATTCCACCTTCAATACAGGCAAGACATGTGATATTCACCTGAAGACAAGCCTGTTCTACTGGGGACCTACTCAACCTTCTATACAGGCAAGAGATGTGATATTCACCTGAAGACAAGCCTGTTCTACTGGGGGCCTACTCCACCTTCAATACAGGCAAGAGACGTGATATTCACCTGAAGACAAGCCTATTCTACTGGGGGCCTACTCCACCTTCAATACAGGCAAGACATGTGATATTCACCTGAAGACAAGCCTGTTCTATTGGGGACCTACTCCACCTTCTATACAGGCAAGACATGTGATATTCACCTGAAGACAAGCCTGTTCTACTGGGGGCCTACTCCACCTTCAATACAGGCAAGAAATGTGTTATTCACCAGAATTGGTCGAGTTGGGACCTATTATGTCTTCCAGACACAAGGGAGTTGTGCTACTCACCAGAAGAAAGACATGGTTCCATCATCGTAGATTTGGGAGTTTTTGTGTTTGCGTTTCTCCTCCTCCCAGTCGTGAGCTGTCATATTGTGTATCTTCAGCTGCTCCCTATCCTGCCGAGCAGACGCCATCTTGGCCACCTCACGACTCAAGCCTTGGTTACCTCTCGGGGGAATCACTGTGGCCACAGCAAGCACTCATAGACAACTTAGTCGCTCCTGCGACTGCTGCAACAAAAACATTCTTCTTTACAAACCAAAACATTACATCACAAACCATTCAGGCAGAACGGACTGAAGACACTTACCCTAACAAAGAATATACAGGATCCTTCTGAAAATAGTTCGGTTTCACTTCAGTTAGATACTTTATCATGCTCCAGTGAGTGAAGCAAGTTCTTCTGTTAGGTAAGTGTCTTCATGCATCTCCAAACAGGAAGTTGATTTCGAATTTATTTTTGCCAATAGTTGTCTGCAATACTAGTCGAGACTTGTTCAGTTCAATACTTTTCAATAAGTTTAACAAAGACATACCAATGAAATGTCCTTCAGGTTAAGGCATCTACAGAAATATGAAACCATCAAGTTAATGTTACAATAATTCAATTGATGGCGGTGCCATCTGCTCCCTCAAGGTGATACAGTATCAAACCAGGGTATTAAAAACTCCAGAAAGACATGAAAATGATCTGTTGCTTGTCAACACACTACTAGTTCATATTCAGATATACTTCCATCAACTGAGACTAAACATCTTACTCAGCAGATGTTTTGACAATAATAGTGAGTGAGTATGGCATTACGCTGCTTTTAGCAATATTCCAGCAACATCACAGCAGGGGAAACCAGAAATGGGCTTCACACATTGTACCCATATGGGGAATCGAACTCAGGTCTTCAGCATGACAAGCAGACACTTTAACCACTTGGCTACCCCACCGCCCCTTTTGACAATAATAACAAGCATGTCGCTCTGTACCTTTTCAAACAACTTCTGTTTAAAAAGCTCAGTGAATGCTCTCTGTGACTTGAGCCACAAAGTCCTGAGTAACTGTACAGGAATGTTTGTTGATATTTCTAGCAACACTGAAGGGCATGGACTAACAGAAGAATTATGCTGACTACGTTTCCAGGAGCAGTTAATCCTGATGTATAGACAATTGGTAACATCCTGCATGTTGGCTTTAATTTTGAATCTGTCCAATTTCAAATGTTCTCACGATGCTTGTGTTAATTTCACATTTGTCTGTAGAATCATTACAGTGAAACCACCAATCGGTTCTCCCTTTTCAGTATTCTGTCTCACAACTTAAGTTGCTTGTTCACAGGGTCGATATACAAGTCTTGGTCACAGACAGTAATTTCTCTTAGATCACACCTTGAAAGTACGCCATAATCCCTTCCTAATGGTTGTTGACTGTATGCTAGGTGTAGGTGTCACAACTGGGTGGGCATTATACAGGGGTGGTTTGGCATCATTGATGGTGGGTTGACACTATACCTTGGCATTATACAGGGTGGGTAGGCTTCATACAGGGTGGGCTGACAACGTACAGGGTGAGTTGGCATTATGCAGGGCAGGTAGGCATTATACAGGATGGCTTGGCATTATACACTGGACTGACATTGCACAGGGTAGGATGGCACTAATACAGGGTGGTTTAACATTATACACAGTAAGTTGACATCATACAACGTGGTTTGGCATCATACAGGGTGAGTCGTTATTATACAGCGTAGGTTGGCATAATGCAGGGCAGGTAGGCATTATACAGGGTAGGTTGGCATTATACAGAGTGAGCTGCCATTGAACAGGGTGAGTTGACATTATACCGGATGCATTGGCATCATACAGGAAAGTTAACATTGCACAGAGTAAGTTGACATCATACAGAGTAAGTTGGCATCATACACTGACTGAGTATGGTTTTACGCTGTTTTTAGCAATATTCCAGCAATATCACGGTATGGGACACCAGAAATGGGCCTTACTAATTGTACCCATTTGGGGAATCGAACCCGTGCCTTCGGCATGACGAGCGAACGCTTTAACCACTAGGCTACCCCAACGCCCGTTGGCATCATACAGAGTGAGTTGGCACTATAAAGGATGGATTGGCACTATACAGTGAGTGACATTGGAATGACGTATGTATCCAGTCTGGATCAGGCAAAAAGGTTATTGATATGATAACAATTGTCCAACACAGTGAAAATAGCATCAAAATAAAGGATCATTCAAAGAACACCAAGGTCTTTAAATTTGAAAAACACTACAGAAACGTTACCCATTGTTAACAGCCAAAACTACATCCTTACAACATGAATTCAGAAATAAATTGGTAAAGTAGGTCCAAAGCTGTAAGCATCTAAGACACACATTACTTCAGAGTTTCCAAACACATGATAGACATGCCATGTGATGTAACTGATAATACTGTCATAAGCTGCTCTATCCCATTGTGGATAATAAATAAGGCACTCATCACCTGCCATCTGTCACAGGTAGACAGTGAACATAATACATGAATAACTCTCACTGAGCAACACACAGATGAACAAAGAATTACTAGATGATTCCACCTTTATTCAATGTCTGACTCATCACTCAGAGAGCATCAGATCAGGAAGTAAACAATGTTTTTGAGTCAGATAAACCAACCCATCAACAGTTTCACCTGCATCCATGATTTATCTCAACTGGAAACAGTTGTCAGGAAACCCACATTTCAAACCAGTGACCCAGCGATGATGCTTCCGCACATTAGCATGTATCGCCAATGCTGTAACTGCTTGGACTAACACTGAGTGTCTGAATACGTATCATTTTGATAGAAACAAATATACTGGACAAAAATAGTTAGGGATATATGTAAATTTTGAAATTATGAATAACAATCTATTTATTAACTGACACACTGATAAAATATCAATCATAAAAATACCATTATCCCTAACTTATTTGGTCCAGTATAATTCCTTTTAAACTGAAAAAGAGCCCCAGTGAAATAGAAGATTCAGAACTGGGAAAATCTAGACTTGCTTCAATCAGGGCTTTATCATTGCAGAATGGGCTAGGCGGAATGGAAAATAATGCGGTTCGGGGACTGTGAGACAGACTACTACTTTGACCTATAAATCAAAGACACTGCAACTAACAAGCCACACATCATGCACATAAAAAAATCATTTAAAAAAAACAAATATTTTATAGATAATAAAAATAACATTAAAAACTAATACCCATCAATCCATAATTGTTGCATAAATATTACAAAAAGTATTGTTGTACTGGTTTGGCCTTGCATAACATGACTGATCACAACAGCCGAGTGACAGCCAGTGTACCATCCATCACTCTCTGCACTTGCTAGTTGAGATATGTGGAACTGGCATTTCTAAATATATGAGCTCATTCATTTCTTTCTTCTGGAGACACTATGATAATTAGGTGATAAAACACACTGTGTGTTCAATGTACTGGGTTACCTGTAGATTTTCCAATATGATATTGAAACAAAAACACTGCATTAGGTTTTAAATGTTATCAAGGTTAAAATATAAATATAATTCAGCAGCATTGTTCTAGCCTAATGTTCTAGCCTAACATTCTAGCTAAATGTTCTAGCCTAAAGCCAAAGTATGGAGTTGTATAGAACTCTGTCATTTAACACAGGGATACATCAGTCACATACATCTTTCACTATACAAGGTGAGGTGCCACGATACAGGGTGGGTTGACATTATACAGGGTGGGTTAACATTATACAGGGTGGTTAACATTATACAGGGTGGGTTAACATTATACAGGGTGGGTTAACATTATACAGGGTGAGCTGCCATTATACAGGGTGGGTTAACATTATACAGGGTGGGTTAACATTATACAGGGTGGGTTTACATTATACAGGGTGGGTTAACATTATACAGGGTGGGTTAACATTATACAGGGTGAGCTGCCATTATACAGGGTGGGTTAACATTATACAGGGTGGGTTGACATTATACAGGGTGAGTTAACATTATACAGGGAGGATTGGCATTATACAGAGTGGATTGCCATTATACAGGGTGGGTTGACATTATACAGGGTGGGTTGACATTATACAGGGTGAGCTGCCATTATACAGGCGGAGCTGCCATTATACAGGGTGGGTTGACATTATACAGGGTGAGCTGCCATTATACAGGGTGGGTTGACATTATACAGGGTGGATTGGCATTATACAGAGTGGATTGGCATTATACAGGAAAGTAACATTGCACAGAATAAGTTGTACATTTCTGGCATTGAAATTATGTCACATACACTGATGTCATGATACAAGTGCCTCATGATACAACACGTATCTCGATATATGTGATATATATCGCGTTCCTATGTATCGAACATTTTGCACTTAACAAGCAGCCATTACCGTAATGGCAAGCTCATACTAGACATGGGAAGACTGAATATCAGCCAAGTATCCATCAACCACACTCACCAAGTCTCGTCATATCTGATGTTTATTATAACAAGTATTGTCACTAAGGTGACATAATCCCCCACCGCAAATTATCAAATCAAACTTATAAAGTAATGAAAGTTTAAGATGAAGTTAAATGTCAACAAAAACATGACCAGTCAACCTCTCTTGATATCTTGCTCTTTAGTTGTTCAAACACACACATATTTTCAAGCCTGACTTTGACCTAGACATGAATGTCATAGTGTATGAAATATGCAAAACTAGTACTTAACAAATTGCTTATTGAAAAACATTCAAGAGAAGTCTTAAAAGTCTATGAAGAAAATCCAGTGAACCATTAAATATCTTGTTGACAATTCAGGTTAACATGCTGAAATCTTCAAAGTGTCGTCGTGACCCTAAAAATTATGTGAAGGTCACCAAAATTGACTGGGCCCTGGGCCTTCCCTAGATGAAGCTTGGTGTCATGCTGTGATGAAACTAGGTACCAAATATGAAAAGAATCTAGTGAACGGTTCTTAAGATATTCCAATTCATACGTACGTACGTACGGACGTACGGACGGAGCCTAATACTATATCCCCCGCTTCGCGAAAAACGTGCAGCGGGGGATAACAAAATTACAAGAGAAAAATGTGTTAACTTCACTTTGGATAATATCCTGCTTGAATTTAACAAAATATTTTTTATATGAAATATCAGCGAGACATAAAATATATCAATATATGTCAAAATATGAATCGATACTAAAACAAA